TGCCACCCCTGCATCCAATGATTTAGTGACCTGGTCATAAAAGGCCACCAGGTTGGTCTGACAGGACCTGCCGCTGATGAACCCATGCTGGTTGCCCCTGAGCATGCAGTTCCCTGCTGGCCCCTCCTGGATGTGTGCCAGAATAATTTTCTCAAACAGCTTGCCCAGGATCGAGGTAAGGCTGACTGGCCTGTAGTTCCCCGGGTCCTCTTTCCTCCCCTTTCTGAAGATGGGAACCACGCTGGCCTCTTTCTGAGACACACGAAGATGGGAGCACCAGCTCAGAGCTGCCTGCTCCCCTGCCCTGCGGCTGGCTGGAGCACAGTGTATCTCAGCGTGGAGGCTCCACAACACGCGGAGATGGGGGAGCAGACAGGTGTTCCCCATCCCACCTGCTGGCTGGCTGGGGCACAGGGTGCCTCAGTATAGTGGCTACCTGGTAGCTCGCCTCACTCTGAGGCACCCTGTGCCCCAGCCCCCACCGCCCCACAGCACATGGAGCCCAGCTGGGAGGAATGGGGCATGCCCTGCAACAAAGGGAACATGCAGGGGTGTGTGCTGCAGCACCAAGTAGTGCAAACACCCTCACCCCCTGCTTGTCTGGACATAGTCTATGAGTTGTGACTTGCCCTGGTGGCACAGCAATGGCTTACTGGAAAGCTAGATAAACTGAATCAGTGCAATTTATAGCTCTTCATGACTTTGTCCATCTACATTAGGGGTTTACAGTGATGTTACTACATAGGTTTTCTGTTACTGGATACGTGTACCTTTGCAGCCAAGATCTCAAACCAAATGGTTTCTCTCTTCCTAGTTGTGTGGAAAGAGACTTGAAGACCAGATTGCAGTTTTGCATGCTTCATTATTTATGTCTTCTGAAGATTTAGCCAAGGTCCTCCAGCACAAAAATGAAACTAAGGACCCAGTAGTCCTGATTGTTCAAATGTAAAGAAATAGGATTTTTTTGTAAGAGTGATGGTCCTTTATACATCAGAGACCCCGTACTACAATTAATACTTAGTTTCCTTGCTTTTGGCAGCTCACAGCTGGAAGGTTATTTAAATATAATTAGTGTGTGTTTAGTATGAAGTGCTCCCCCCCATAACTTACCCACTTCTTAAAGGCATCTTCTACAAGGGAATAGTCCTTACCAGGGGTGGGCAAAATGTGGCTCTCCATTCTATGCGGCCCATAGGGCCCCTAAAAAATTTAGAAAATTAATATTTATCTGCCCTTGGCTGCCTGTCATGTGGCCCTCGATGGTTTGCCAAAACTCAGTAAGCAGCCCTCCGCCCAATATAATTGCCTGCCCCTGCCTTAGACAAACCTAGAAGAACTGATAAGGCAGACTATAAAATGTTTCTGGAAGAGCTCGTATGGCCTATTATACAAATCTTGACAGTGGGCCTAATAGGTTAGGGAAGTCTTGTTATCTATTAGTGTACCGCCATTATGGTCCATAACATGCTAATGCATCTGTTTTGCAGGCAAAAAAACCCTATGCACTAAAATCCTTTCAGAATAAGGAACTACCATTAGCAGTAGACAGTTCCCAAAGCCAAATTTCTCTCATCTACCTACTTCCCCATAGTTATATAGTTACTTTTGGTCTGAGAATTTTCCTGCCTAACTGAGGCCACAGTGCTTTTTAAACAGCCAGGTCATAATTAGGAAATCCTGACAGTAAGCGATGAAGTCATAACTGAAATATAGCAGTATGGGAAGGAATTGCTATTGTTAGAGTGGGGAATCCAAGCTTTTCCCAGCTAAGGACTATGCTGGGAAGCTCTCAGCTAGAGTACACTTCATAGCACAGGTGGCAGTCAGATTAGGATAGTGCATTGCACACAACAGACAAGGACTTCCATATTAACAATGAGACCACAGTGCAGAGCTGTGTGGGTCTTATCTTTAGGAAGCTGTGAATTAGAGCAATATCAATGTTCAGGAGCAAAGTATAGCCACCAGCTGAAATACTGATGCAGATGCAGGAATGGAGAGAGAATCCTTTAACTCTCATCCTTACCTTTAATTTTGGCTGGGTGATGGCTAAGCAGGGAGGCAGACCACAGCTGGGCCACCTTTTGACCTCTGTTTTACTTTGAAGAGTTGCAAAACCAACATGAAGAGAAGGCAGGTTATGATCACACCACACAGGCCTATGATTTTATGCCAGGAGATACAGCTACCAAAAGATATACAGCCAGGAGATACAGCTACCAAAAGATATACAGCTTGAGTCCATAAAACCTGCTATTTACTTGTGAAACTTGCAAACTTATTTTTCTCAAGGTCAAGTCTGAATTTCTTCTAAAGGAAACTTGAAAGTCCCACTGATTGTGAACAAAGTGACAGCTGTGAATGTGGCCTTCAGTCCCTACCAGCCTGGTAATGTGTGACCTAGATGTGCAAGGCTCCATTGCCAAATTATTTCATGGCGGAATTAAGTTTCCTCTTGAGAAAGCACAGGTGCCTTAGTTTCTAAGCTCTTGGCAGTCCTCACCTTCTTTAAGTATAGAGTACTTATTTTCACACCATCATAAGTCTTTGATTCAAGGAGAGATGTTTCCTCTTCTGAAACAGACCAGTGGTCTTGTAAGTTTTCAATAAGCTCATGCAGGGCTTTTTTGTAAGAAAAAAGACAAAGATGTAAGTTAGTGTCACTTCTTTAGTTCTGAACATTTTACATTTTTATGTAAAGTTTTCTTGGAAAGGCCCTTTGGTTCAAACATTTCAAACCTAAATGCCTAAAGTTAGGCTGTCATGGCTACACTTAGGCAACTGGTTAAGATATTTTCAAAGATGCTGAGTGCCTACAGTTCCCAATTACTGTTGTAGCCCTCACATGGCTTGAGCATATTAGGTACTTAACTTATAAACAGCCTGTTTTCTTAAAAGTGACTAGCAATATTGTCTGCCCAACTTCAGACATGTTGAGGAAGTTTAGAAAAAGGCCTGATCTTCAGAAACTGTCAACCACTCACCCTCTGCAAACAACATCCCCTTCAAAAAGTTCATAGTCATAGAGAAGAGCCACTCATATGATTAGAGGCCTGAAGAGCAAGCCATATGAGGAAAGGCTGACAGATATGGGACTGTTCAGCCTAGAAAAGAGAAGACTTCATGCGGATTTGGTGGTAGCTTATAAATATATCAGGGGAGAACATCAGGGGCTAGGCAAACAACTATTCACCAAATCACCCCAGGGGAAAACCAGGAGCAATGGCCATTAACTCCTAGAAGAAGGTTTCAGACTGGATATAAAGAAAAACTTCTTTATGGTTCACGTGACCAGACTCTGGAATAGACTCCCAGCGGTAGTGGTGCAGGCATCTACCCCAGAGATCTTCAAAAGTAGACTGGATGCACACCTTACTGTGGTTATTTGACCCCAGCAGTCTTTCCTGCCTAGAGAAGGGGGACTGGACCTGATGATCTCACGAGGTCCCTTCTAGTCAGAGGTGCTGGTCAACAGAGTCAGGGAGGCAGAATGGCAGAGGTGAGGAGATGTGGATGAGAGGGATCCTCAGCCCCAAAATGACAAAGTTATAGGTATTTCAGTGATTCCCCATTATAGCCTCTGGCCGAATCGCTGAATCTCTCTGACGTGGCACTGAATCTTCTGAAGCCGATTCAGCCAAATTGAGTCAAGACAGTGATCCGAATCTCCAAATCGAATTGCTGTCCTCCAAATAGAATACTTCCCTATTCGCACAGGCCTAGAAAATATCATGTCTATGGTTGATCTTTCGGCCATGAATCTGTGCTCAGGTTCAGAGTAGACACAACTCACTAGCTGTTGTAGGTGTAACAAGATGACTCTTGAGAAAGCTTTTCCTCCTATATTTAGTAGTAAGATACCACTGTAGTTGTTACAGTTGCCCTTATCTCCTTTATTTTTATACAAAGTGACAATGTTTGTGTCATGCATATCTTGTGGTACCTCACCCTCTTTCTAGCATTTCATTAGCAGCTGATGAAGATATGGTAGTAGGCTTTCTTTCCCGCACTTGAGAATTTCCACTGAGATGCCACCCTTTCCAGGAGCCTTGCCACTTGATAATGAATCAATGGCTTTGTTTAGGTCTTCTACAGTAGGCTTCACATTTAGGTCTGGCATGACCTGTAGAGTTGGTATTTGGTCCAGTAATTCACTGGTGATGTTTCTTTCTTGTAAGTACAGCTCTGAGTAGTGTTCAACCCAATGAAATATCTGCTTGCTTCTATCTGTAATGGCTTCACTTCTGTGTGATTTAAAAGGGGCAACCTTATTGACAGTAGGGCCTAGAGCTTTCTTTAGATCATTGTACCTGACTTTTAGGTTTCCTGTGTCTGAGGATGTCTGCATCTCTTCACAGAGTTTAGTCCGGTACTGATTTGCACAGCATCTGTTTGCTTTCTGTACCTTGTTTTCCTCACTTTGGTGCTCACTGTTTGCTTCTTCTTGTGTTCCAGATAAGCTGTATTCTTGATATTGATGAGAGGTAATAGTTCTTCTGCATTTTCTTTGAACCAGTCCTTATTGGATGGTCTCTTTTCCCCAAAGGTAGCTTTAGCTATTTCATCGATTGCAGTTCTTAAGCCTTCCCAAATTTCCTCTGCTTTCTCTGGTAGTAACTTCCCAAACATGCTGAGTTTGAAAGGCTTCACAAACTCTTGGCACTTCTGGTTCTTGGTGTTAGTGGCATTGATTTTGGGCTTGCTCCTAGGTTTTACTTTATGTAGTTTCTTGGCTATAATCTTCACTTTGGTAATGATCAGGGAGTAGTCGGTGTCACAGTCAGCACTGTGGAATGCACGGGTCTTCTGCACTGAAGGTAAGTCTCTCCTCCTAACAGTCTAGTTGGTACCTGATTGTGGATGTCACCATGACACTTTGTGGCAATCTTTTGCAGAAAAATAAGAATTGGTAATACACAGTTTGTTTTGGGCACAGAATTCAATAAGCTGTTGGCCTGTTTCATTCATCTTGCTGATGCCAAAATGTCCTAGGCAATCTGGCCATGACTTGTTGTCTAGGCTGAATCTTATATAATCCTAATTATAATAATACCATCATTCAAATGTTTTCTTATCATGGCTGATAAACCATAACTATGACAATGCACAAAACTTATAAAATCTGGGTCAAGAACTAAAATATGGGAAGTTAGAATCAACTGCCTCCAGGTTATGAACCAAGCACTGCAGAGTCTCTTTTGCCCATCTTCTAGGAATGAGAAGGTGGACACTTTACATGCATTATCAGCTAACTAGGAGCATAAGCAAAGTTCCCATGCTGTGGCAAAGGTAGCGCAATGATATCTCATGAGTTCTTCCCATACTCCCTATGCCATGCTTGTTTTTTAATACAGTCCTCTGAGCTTAGCTCAGGATGGAGCATTCTATGATAATAGATCCATAGCTAGGGACAGACATTTTTTAAAGATTATAAACAACATACTTTCACACAGACAAACAAGGAGCCACAATCCTTCTTTAGCTGTTTAAACAAACAATTCTACCACTGTAGCTAAAGGAAGACCGGGAGCTGATATTAGCAGCATGCCACTTATCTCCTCTGTAGGCCAGTCACTGAGGAGTAACATTGTTTGCCCACAGTACATTATTACATGCTGGGCTTCACAATCTCTTAGAGCTACCTATTTGTATGGGAAGTGAGGAGGGCAGCAGCATGCTCTTTTTATCATATAGTAATTAGTGGGAGCCCATGGGCGGACTTTGGTCCCTCTGACTTCAAGCATTACGCTCCTGTGAGTTCTCGGTGTCCCCTGCAGGTTCAGCAAGTGATGCATTGAAAAGGGAACGTGATGGTGTAGAATCCTGATTAAACACCCCACACACACCAAAAACCTAGGGAACCAGAGGAAATCTCACAAAGCCAAATCCATCTCAGATAGAGAAAAGCAGCTTTCTGAAGCCTTTAGATTAGAGCAAAAGCAATTCCAAAATACATATCTGAGTAATCATGGTGCACCCACATAACCCCACATGCGAGTGAAAACATGTCCTGGCACTGCCAGTGTTTCAGCATGAGCACCTTTTATGGAAATCCAGTTTTAGTCCCTCACCTTTGTTTGTACCATCCTGTTTACTATCCTTGCAAAGTAGCAGTCAAACAGACTGGGGACCTGATCTGCTTATTATTCATGGTTACAAATGATGGTGTGGAGACAGAAAGAACATAAACAGCATTGGCTCCAGTCATTTGTCTGAACCTGAATTACTCATAGCAGATTTCCTCCTAGTAAATCAAATACAAACACTGGGAGGCTCTTAACTATACAAAACTACACAAAAGGAGCAAATGTCTTTTTGGGGTGAAGCCTCATCTTAATTACAGGAACCAGTACCAGTACATTTCCCCACCTGCTTTTGTGGGCTTGCTATAAAACTGCAGCATGGCTGTTTACAGTCTGAGTGTAAACTTTCTGACTCTGTAGCTCATTTTCTTTGCTGGATCTGAAATGAGCATTTGGGATGTAACTATTACCAGATAATCGCACCCTGGGGGAAATTACTAGTCTCAAGTATTTGCACTCCCCAGATCATGATAATCTCCAGGCATACAGCTAACCATTAGGAAAGTGTGTTAAACCAGATAGGTCTGTCAAGTTCTTGCCTTTCACAGTGCTTACCAGCGTATGCTATTCCATATGGCTATTTGCATCCCTTGGGCTTCCTCAAACTGGTATTTTACATGAATCCTTGTAATATGGACATAATGCTTCCTTCCCGCAATCTAATAATGCTGCTAATTGCAGATCCAAATTTTATTCTCATTTACCCCTACCCCAGTGCCATTCTTCAGTGACCCTCATTGACTTCAGCAGAGTCATGCTGATTTATGCTCATGGAAGAGGAAAATCATGCTTTCTGTAGGATCAATTAATCCCTGAAAGAAGGGAGCCCTTTAGGACTCAAAATGTATATACAGAAAAAATGCAACTTGTGTGGGCAACAGTTTGGTCTCTGAATGTTTTATTAATAGCTTTTGTGGGGGAGCCCATAGACTCCACCCAGTCCTGTGTCTGCCTTGTGCTAGGCTCTGTACAACCATAGGCATGATCACTGACTCAAAGGCCCAACTCTCTAGGTAAACAAGACAGTTATAGATAAACTGCAAGTGATGCATTTAAGCTGATATGAAGTACAGCTAAATAACTTGGAACACCTTCAAAATCCAGCTTCTTCCCTTTTTCTTCCTCAGCTGCATTTCCATCAGTTCTTTCACCTACAGATTTGGAAAGGGTGGAATATGCAGCTGGTAAATAAATAAATAACAATAGTGGCATGTTTTAATGACTAGCTTGCTTGTATAGCGGCAGTAGGCTGACTACTGGTTTATGTATTTGTATTCAAGGGTAGACTCACAAAGGCTCAGTTAGGCCTAGTAGTCAGGTACATGGTCTCAGCATCTAACCAACACTCCTGGTAAAGACTTCTTAAGTGTCTGTGGTCAATCATGCAACAAAATATCAGAGGAGAAACTAATTTTTGTCCCCCAGATGGCAAATCAGTGTATGCACTGAAGCATAAAGCTAGATAGCCTGTATAATTTGCAACCTTGCTAGTGTAACTGCAGATGCTAATCCTATTTGCATAAATGTCAGCCAAGCAAAAGAAGGGTTGCTGTGATTAGCTGAGAAGGGGAAGAAGAAAGGAGATAAACAGAGTTTCTTGGAATCTTTCTCCACAAAATTATGAAAGATCAGGTCCAGTTCTTTCCTCTGTAGAATATAAAATGCACTTCAGCTCCTAAAGTGCATGATAAGAAGGAGGGCATGCAGCAGGGCCAGTGCAGGGTTGTGTTTGTCTGGAGCTGTGCCTAGAAATAGTTTGCTAGTGTCCAATTATATTCTATTAAAATACCAGGAAATATACCTGGGTATATTCTATTAAAATACCCATCACAGAGGGCCCTGGATACACACAGGTATGTCTGACCTGACATACCAGAGCTATACATGAAGGCCAGTATCAACAGTATTTAAAAAAGAAAGAAAACCCCTAACACAAAGTCAAGCCATGTCTTTTGTCAAAAACAGAAAAACAGACTGCTATTGCACACCTTTCTCCAGCCTTGTTCTGCCAGGAACATCAGTTATGTACCCGGTCTCCAGATACATCAAGACAACGGTTTTTCTCTTTACATGGGAATATACTTTTGGAATATTTTGACACCAAACTTTTATAAAACCATCTTCCTCTCTGTGTGACCAGTCATCCTCTACTTTGCTATCTACCTGTTTCTTTTCCCTTCTGTTTAGCTTCAATTCATTCCCCACTTTCAAGCCCCTTCCTTCCTCCCTCCCTCTTTCTCTTCCTCTTCTCTTAGTTTTCTATTCTAGCTTTCTTTCTTCTTGTCACTAGCTCTTCTTTTATCCTTCCATTCCTGCAGTTATCTTCCTTTTCCCTTCTCTTAGTTTTACCTGTCTACCTTTTTCGCTCCCCCTGTTTCCCTCCTCTACTGCCCTATACCCTCCACTGTCTGTTTTTTTTTTCTTCCATTCTCAAATTCTTCTCTTTTTTTCTATGGTATCTACAAAGCTTACCCCCGCCCCTTGTCAGGGCCTGCACCCAGCCATGAGTGGAAAGGCAATGTAGAAGTCACTGCTGAGATTGTGGAGGAATGTCAAGTGGCAAACTCCCTCCTACCTCAGGCTGTGGTGAGATTGGGGAAAGTGATGGTCAGTTGTTGCCTCCTTCAAAAGGTAGCAACAGGATCAGGAAGAGGAATGTGTGTTTCAGTATCTGTATAGGATGCCCCCAGTCTGACACTTGGACTGGAGAGCAGCTGTCCATGGGCTGAACATCCCAGGCAGAATGGTGGGGATGTCTCTGCTGCCCAGGATACAGTGCCTCTTGATGCCTCTCACAGACATTCAGGAAGACCTTTCTACTCTAGTGCTCTCAGTATGTGTGGCAGTTACTGCAGGTTACTGATACTTTCTCATTAAAAAGAAGTCTTTTTAGCCTTTTCTTTATGCTGGGGTGGTCTATTGTGTCTGTTTTCTAGGAAAGGTCTGAAACTCCAAAGGCTGGTAGGACACATCCAGGTGGGAAGTGAGTGAACTTGGAGCTTGAAGGCATGATTAGAAAAGAAAGGGAGAAAGGTGATATCATCAAGTAGACAAGTTCAAGGCAACACCCCCCATAACAGATCTCTGCCCATCAGCCAGAGGCCTCCTGCCTAGTGACAAATACTCCCACACCACATCCCCATGGGCAAAACCCCTTCTTCCTTTAGATGTGGCCCTGGAAAGCATTATTAGACACCATCAGTTTTGCGCTCTCAGTCATGAATGTTGGCCATCCTTAACCTACAGCATAAATAAGGGACTTCAAGACTTACACTTGTGTCCAAACTGATTGGGTCAATTGTGGGTAGAATTCTCAAGGGAACCTAGTTCAGAGGAGTTATTTAGGCTTGCTTAAACCTGCCCCCCAGATTTAGCTTGCCCCAGCCATGACTAGTCACATGATTGCAGCACACCTTGCTCATCCAGTATGATTTGTTCATACTCTTCTCTTCCTTCAGCATAATCAATTTCAGTTGATTCCTCTTCTTCTGCCTCACTTTTTTCAGCTGCTGCTTCTGCCACTACCACTTCCTCCTCTTTCTCCTCAATTTCTTTGGAGAAGTTAGTATAGATTACTACTATGTCTGAAAAATAGACAGAGTCCATGTTAAAAAGCTGATCTAATAGTGGAAGGACAGGGTGCTGAACTAGACTAGGCTGATCCCTAACCATAGCTATGCAGAGTATGGGGAAAACCTCATACAGAAACACAGGAAAAGATCATACTGAAAAGGGATGACAGTCCAGCTAGTCTGGTTTTCTGTCTCAGGAAATGTCTTACACCTGGAGTATTCAGCCCCCAGCCCATGGGCCAGATACAGACTGTAAAGCCAGCTAATCCAGCCCACTGGTCTCCCCACAGGTCTGGAAATTTGGTGGTTGGGGAGCAGTGGCAATTAATACTGTCACCACCCCCACCACCAAATTTCCAAGCCCTATGGGGCTGAATTAACTTTGCAGGGAGGGATTTGGCCCTGTTCACATGTGACTGGATCAAGCTGAGTCGCCAGGGCCCAGCGCAGCTGTGAATGCATCAGCCAGGACCTGATGTGGATGTGCAGCCTGATGCAGCCACATGGATCGGACCCTGGGTGGGCCATTTCTGCATGGTTGGATCAGGCCCTGGCTAGGCCAGCAATGTGTGCTAGGGATCTAACCTAGGGATCACTCACACAGCCCACAAGCTGAAAAGGTTGGGCACCACTATCTTAAGCAGATACTTCGGGGGAGAAGAAAATTCCCCACAATGCAGCCGACTAGCTATGGGGCCATTGGATTCCATCCTGAACCCATCTAGGGCTCAGTTTGTATCAGGTTAAGGATAAGGCTCACTCAATCTCTTGTATCACTGTAGCCACAGTAGTAAAAATTCAGTTGCTCTTCTGATTTAGACAAAACCATCTAAATCTCATTTGAATCTTGCTGGCCCCAGGCACCCAAACAAGCCCCAAGGAAGAGAGGGACTGGGTTTGGTCCCAACAGCGTATAATCGTGGCGTTTGTGAAAGCAAGAGGTATGCAGGAGTTAAAGGGCTGAAATTAGAGGGCTGATGGTTTGAGTCCCTTCCTGGTCACAGGCAAGAGAGGAAGGTAGTCAGGTAGTAAAGGTATTTCTACGTGATTCAGGAGGCCCTGTGGGACTTGAGGCTGATCACTATTCCTTATCTATAAAATGGGGAAAAGGTAGTACCCTGCCTCACAGAGGTGATGACTCAGAACCACTGGAGTAACTATGAGGAGAGTGACCAGGGCAGCAGCTCCAGCTGCTGACTTGGGGAGGGAGACGCAAAAGTAGCAGATGCTGTTGCTGCTGTCCATGTGTGTCACTGCTGCCCCATGCACCATCATGGCACAGAGCTGCCCTCTTATGCCTCTTCTGAGAACCATGATAGTAGGGAGACCACATTAATACCTTAAGCCACAAGCATGAGCTACAGAAACCAGGCTGACCTGCACTCTGAGGAGATAATGAGATTTTTTATGGAAAGATTATCAGGTAAGGAGGCTCCTGCAGTTGACAGATCTTGTGTTCATGTGGGAAGAGCTCAGGGGAGCTCCAGGCCTTCAGGGCATGTCTATACTGCTTCTGTCCCATGCCAGGGAATGCCACTGTGATGTATACTCTGCCCACTTACTCCTCCTCCATGCACACCCCATTTGGGAACTGAAGTAATGTTGCTGCAGTAGAGCATGACCAAACGTACAGGCTGTTTTGGTATGCACTCAGCTTTGTTCTAAGGTGGTTACAGTGCTTCATTTCTGGGATTTGGCATAGGCAAAGTGGGAGCAAATGATTAGGGTGAACTTCATGGCAATAGTCTTTGATTCAGCAGAGAGGCCACGGAGACGTCCTACAGATCACAAATTCCAAGGCAGGCACTTAACTCGTATCCATGATGTGTGGATAACTGCAACTATACAAACTGTTATTTGCATATGTGGTCACAGATATTTCACTGAAACCTAGTTTTAACACTTGCCCATCACCCAAGGGAGAGAAGAAGTGGGTCTCTGCTTTTTTAAAAAATGTATTAGCCCAGGAAAGCCACAATGGCTGGGAATGTTTGCAGGGTTGGCGTTAGGCATGTCACTGGCAAATGATGACAGCAAACACATTTATCAAATTATTAGTTTAGGGTTTAATTTTGATTGCTATTGAACAGGAGCGCTGTTCTACTCCATCTGTGGTCCCACCGGCTTCCCTGGAAACAACTGCAGAGTAAGCATATGAGAGTGACTCTTACTGCTACTCACCTTGACTTTGGATGGACACGGATTCTTCATCTATGACTTCTGTACTCCTCACCTCTTCTCCAAATACTAGAATAGTTTAAACTTCATGTTTTAATGATAAAGCAAGCTTAGCAGGTGAAGAGGGGGATTAAATTTACTGCTTCTGTGACTACAGATATGAAATAAATCTTAGATTCAATGATAGATCAATAACACCAAGATTGGGTTTAAATTATTAATAACCTATGAGAAACAGGGATAATTATTTTATGAATCATAGTTCTCTTAACGTACTGCACATTTTCTCCCAATACATCTGTACTGAAGCACGACCTGCATATCTTTGGCAAGAGACTACAGTGAATAAGTTAATGTCTTTTGTTTTGCTTGCTAAGCATTTAATAGATTCAGATGTGGGCTGTCACAGTCGGGTGGCAATGCATTTTCTGTCATATCCTCATGAACATACCAATGCTTTTAGTAACCTGACACAAAGACTAGTTCAGCTGGGGCCATATCCAGTCTGAATGTATCTCTGCAACATCACAGTGTGGCTCTTCTCTTGTGGGTGTGCATTGTTTTTAGAGGCAGGCACTTCAGCCCCCAAACCAACTCCCTTTTAGGCAGGTAGCTTTACCCAGCTAGTGTTAGCATCAGAAAGTGGCATTTTGGTTCATTAATGCAGGTTTTAGATCAGGTCTGGCCAACTAGTGGCCCCAGGTCTCCCAGTGGTTTCCAGCTTCCACCTCCCTTCTCTGGCTTTCACTTACTGCCCTTGCCTCCAGGAGGGCAGGGAAGGGTGGTGTGACTCAGTGCACCCTGCACTGTGAGGGGAGCCCACAGTGTGGTGCAGTGGGGGAGCCTGCAACCTAGAGGGAGAAATGTGCCCATCCTTGTGTGAGATGCAGTGGTGGATGGTGCAAGGGAAGCTTGCTGCTGGGGAGGTTAAATGGCGGGGAAGGGGGTCTGTGGTCCTACTGGTGTGTTCCCTGTGGTGCACAGCCCTGGGCCACTAAGAAGTTGCACAGCCCTGTTGCAGATTCTAGCGTGGCTGCTCACAGTAGGTTGTATTACAGCAGTTCACCACCAGGTGGCAGGAGGTAATGTCCTGTGTGTCCATAGCAGTAGGTCACTACAGGGATGGACACAGGATACACTGGTGTTTCCCTTGATTTTTCCTAGGGTAATTTTCCTGATGCAATCAAGTTACACTGGGGTAGGAATATATGCTGTGCACCTGCTTCTTGTTTACCACCAGCATGAACATGGAGTATACTAATCTAAATGTGTTGCACGCTTACACCCTAAGTAAAGAGTTGGTGATCTGCCATGATCTTATTCCTAGGCAACCAGGGGAAGTAATCACTGCAAGATGCAGGAGCAGGAAGGGCCATGTTTATTAACCACTTGACTGGTGGCCAATTCATGATGTTTAACACACTTGCATATTTGAAGTGACGTTTTCGTAGTTGGTAATTCCAGCATGGAGCAGGAACAATCAGGGAGGGGACGATATTCATTAGCCCAAGGAGTCTTGTAGCAATCATGGGGGTTGGTAAGCAGAAAGGACCTTTCCATAGCTAAAAACATTACTAAGTTCATGGTATTTAATGTCCCCTTGCTTTTATCTAGAATTTCACAACCCCCTGAAGACTGATCACATGGGAGAGCCAATAGCCAACGAAGGCAGTGAAATGGGTAGCTGGCTGGCAAAGAACATATGTGCCCTGAGAACTGCCTCCCACAAGGCCTTTCATATATTGCCACTCTGGCTCCCAGGTCTTGCAAGTTCTCTCTGTAAGTCCTACCCTTGGTCAAGTTCTTGATCTGCTGCAGACTGGCTCTTTCAATCACAGGCCCTTGTAAGCCAGGAAAACTTGACTCAGGTTTTCTGAATCAAGTTCTGCAGCCACTTGCCAGTCATAGAATCATAGAAAATTAGGGTTGGAAAGGATCTTAGGAGGTCATCTAGTCCACTACCCTGCTCAAAGCAGGACCATCCCCAACTAGATCGTTCCAGCCAAGGCTTTGTTAAGCTGGGACCAAAAAACCTCCAAGGATGGAGATTCCACAACCCGTTCTAGGTAACCCATTCCAGTGCTTCACCACCATCCTAGTGAGAAAGTTTTTCCTAGTATCCAACCTAAACGTCCCTTGCTGCAACTTGAGACCATTGCTCCTTGTTCTGTCTTTCATGCATCATCAGCCTCTGGCTCTACACTAGCCTCATATCTGAAGTGACTTCTATGCATACATATATGTGGATCTGAACACTGCTATCTTGGTCAGTCTCTGCACAAACCTTGGCTTATAAATAAAGCAAAACAAGCCCGTGTGTGGAATTTCACCTGCACGGCACAGAATACCAGGAGGGCAACATATGTTAGCATATCAGTAATGAGACACATTTATCCTCCTGTCAAATTGCTTCAACTATATCAAAATTCATGTCAAATAAAACCTTCCCTATTTTACTGAGGCCACAAAGCCATTTTTCAAAGCCAAGGCATGATTTCATTTTTCACAAGCTGGCTCACTGGGAAGCATGGACCAGTGCTTCTGGGCAAACTCACCATCCTCATGGGCATCCAGAGACTTCGCTGAGTAGCCCCATTCTGTCTGGGTCATCAGATCTTCCATATCATACTTTCTGCTCTGAGCGGAGGTGGGAGAGCTGTCCACAGACTTCCTGCAAAAGGGGCCACATTTGCTTGACTTTAATGTCACTAATAGGGACTAGGATGGGACCAAAAATCATCAGGATTTGGGACTTTTCCTAGAAATAAGACATACGCTCAGATTTTTAGATGCAACTCAACCCTTAACACTCCCAAAGAGCATCACTAAGGATCCATTGTGTATGGGAGAGAGAAGCAAGTCTCTGGGCTTACTACTTTCATTACATCTGCTTCCTAGGGATTTCTCAACTAAGTGCAACCAAATTGTGTGCCTGAAGCCTAACCTCAGTTTGGATAAATGCACTGCTTATCTCATCTCACATTCCTCTGCTACTTCTGTGAACCACACTGATTGCTTCTGCTCACCTCCATTATGCAGTGCCACATTTGCTCTGCATGCCACATGTACCACAGTCCAGGAGATAGGTTGGTGTAATCTGTGGTGGAGGAGAAGGAGGTATGTGTTCTGGGCCTCAGCATGTCTATCCATCAATGAGGTTCTACGAATCCTCCTGTCATTTTGTACTTTCTTCTCAACTAAGCTCAACTGGCAAATTGTGAAGTTATTTTGAATTGCTATTAGGGACCTGACACAGCTCTTTTTTGGCCATTGCTACATCCCTGTAATGTAGGTAGGTGCTGTTGCACCTCTTACTCTTAAAAGCTAATTTAAAGGTGTTTCACAGTTTTTATCAGTATCCCATTGCATATAAGAAGCAAAGGCAACCAAAACACACATAGGGCCTGATTGGATTTGACTCCAGAAAATCATGGGAGGAATTTCTTTTTTATTGCATGAGTGATTCCACTAGCTTGTTACACATCACTGCCTTTTTTTTTAGGTGTCTAGGACTTTTAAGAGATTCTTGATGCAGTACACCTAGGGGTAAACACATTAATAGGTGAAGGCCTCACAGGGCATAGGGAATCTAAGCTATTTGTATAACTCCCCAATAACAGTTATATCTAGACACCTCACTGTCATTTAACATATTATAGAAAATTAGGGTAGGAAGGGACCTCAGGAGGTCATTAGGCTAACCCCCTGCTGAAAGCAGGACCATCCTCAAGTAGATCATTCCAGCCAGGGCTTTGTCTAGCTGGGCCTTAAAAACCTCCGAAGATGGAGATGCAACCACCTCTCTGGGTAACCCGTCCCAATGCTTCACCACCCTCCTAGTCATCTCATCACAGAAGGCAATCAGTCAGGTTGTTGACTGTTCCTGATCACTTTCTTCTCTAAGTGCTTAGAAATGGTTTCCTTGAGGACCTGCTCCATGATTTTTCCAGGGACTGAGGTGAGGCTGACTGGTTTGTTGCTCAGGTTCCTCCTTCCCTTTCTTAAGGATGGACACTATATTTGCCTTTTCCCAGTCATCCAGGACCTGCCCCAATTATCATGAGTTTTCAAAGATAACGGCCAGAGGTGCGGCTGTCGCATCACCCAACTCCCTCAGGTGCGTTGCATCCAGCCCCATGGGCTTGTACACATCCAGCTTTTCCAAACAAGTCCCTAACCTGTTTTTTATCACTGAGGTCTGCTCACCTTCTTCCAAAACTTTGCTGCCTGCTGCAGTAGTCCGGGAGTTGACCTTGCCTATGAAGATGGAGGTAAAAAGGCATTGAGTACCTCAGCCTTTTCCTCATCTGTCACTAAGTTGCCCCCTCTCCCCCATTCAGTAAGAGCTCCACACTTTCCCTGACCCTCCTTTTGTTGCTGACATACTTGTAGAAACCTTCTTGTTACCCTTCATGTCCCTTTCTAGCTGCAACTCCAAATGTGCTTTGGCCTTCCTCATTTCACTCCTGCATGCCCGAGCAATATTCTTTTACTCTTCCCTAGTCATCTGTCCAAGTGTCCACTTCTTGTAGACTTCCTTTTTGTGTTTTAGCTCTTTGAAGAGTTTCCTGTTAAGCCAGGCTGGTCACCTGCTGTATTTGCTAGTCTTCCTGCACATCTGGGTGGTTTGTTCCTGTGCCCTTAGGAAAATACAGCCAGCTCTCCTGGACTCCTTTCCTTTTCAGCCTGGTCTCCCAGGGGATCCTGCCCATCAGCTCCCTGACAGAGTCAGAGTCTGCTTTGCTGAAGTCCAGAGTCCATATTCTGCTGCTCTCCTTTGTTCCTTTTGTCAGAATCCTGAACTCAATCATCTCATGGTCGCTGCTGCCCAAGATGCCATCCACTACTACATTCCCCACCAATTCTTCCCGGCTTGTGAGCAGCAGGTCAAGAGCATAGCCCTTGGTGGCCGCTTCAGCACTTGCACCAGGAAGTTGTCTCAAACACTCTCCAGAAACTTCCTGGATTGCCTGCACACTGCTTGTGTTGCCCTGTCAGCAGATGTCAGGGTGATTGAAGTCCCCCATGAGAAACAGGGTCTGTGATCTGGAAACTTCCACTAGGTGTCTGAAGAAAGCCTCCTCTACCTCATCTTCCTGGTCTGGTGGTCAGACACCTACCATGACGTCACCACTGTTGCTCTCCCCTCTAACCAAAACCCAGAGACTTTCAACAGGTTTGTCTCGTTTCATATTGGAGCTCTGAGCAATCATACAGCTTTTACATATGGTGCAACTCCTCCTCCTCTCCTCCCCTGCCTGTCCCTCCTGAACAGCTTATATGCACCCATGACAGTGCTCCAGTCAAGCAAGCTATCCCACCAAGTCTGTTATTCCAATCATGTCATAGTTCCTTGACTGTGAGGCCTTCCAATTCTTCCTGCTTGTTTCCCAGGCTCCATGTGTTCGTGTTCAGATACCTGAGGTAACTACCCAATTGTCCTACTTTCTTAGTAAGAATAAGGAGGCCTCTCCTGTTGTCCCCTCCTTCTTGTGCTTCCTCCAGGTCTCCTGCTTCCCCACTTACCTCAGTGCTTTGGTTTCCATCCCCTGGCAAACCTAATTTAAAGCCCTCCTCACTAGGTTAGTGAGCCTGTCTGCAAAGATGCTCTTCCCTCTCTTTGTCAGGTGGATTCCATCTCTTTCTAGCAATCCTTCTTTATGGAACAACATCCCATAGTTGAAGAAGCGCCTGAGCCCTTCTTTTTGATCAGAAGGGTTGAGGAGAACTCCACCTGTGCCCCCATCCTCTTCAACCTTGATCCCAGAGCCCTGTAGTCACTCTTGATTTGTTCAGGGTCACCCCTGGCAGTATCATTGACACAGTGCTCCAGATGTGGTCTCACCCATGCTGAACAGAGGGGAAGAATCACCTTCCTCGACCTGCTGGGAATGCTTGTAATAATGCATCCCAGTATACCGTTAGCCTTCTTGGAAACAAGGGCACACTGTTGGCACATATTCAGCTTACTGTCCTCCGTAACCTCAAGGTCCTTTTCTGCAGAGCTGCTACTTGGCCTGTTGGTCCCCAGCCTGTAGCAGTGCATGGTATTATTCTGTCCTAAGTGCAGGACTTTGCACTTGTCCTTATTGAGCCTTATGAGATTTCTTTTGGTCCAATCCTCTAATTTGTCTAGGTCTCTCTGAATCCTAACCCTACCCCCAGTGTATTTACTACTCCCCCCAGCCTGAAGTCATCCACAGACTTGCTGAGGGTGCACTCCATCCCAGCTTTCAGACTGTTGATGAAGATATTGAACAAAACTGGGCCCAGGACCAACCCCTGGGGCATTTTACTTGATACTGTCTGCCAACTAGACATTGAGCCATTGATCACTACTCTTTGAGCCTGATGATCCAGTGAGTTTTTTATCCACCTTACAGTGCATTCATCTAACCTGTACTTCCTTAACTTGCTGGCAAGAATGGTGTGGGAGATTGTATCAAAAGCCTTGCTAAAGTCAAGGTATATCACATATACTGCTATCCCTGCATCCACAGAGCCAGCCATTTTATCGTAGAAGGCAATCAGGTTTGTCAGGCAAGACTTACCCTTGGTGAATCCATATTGACTGTTCCTAATCACCTTCTTTTCCTCCAAGTGTTTAGAAATGTAATAATATTTTTCTTATTTTCACTGACTATTTACTAGGTCTTGTGAATACCTGTAGGTGTTTTTTAGAAGCTGTGTGGCTAATCTCTCCTCAAATCACAATGAAGGCTCTACCCCAGGAAAATGTTTTCCCCAATCTTTCAGAAATTTCGAATGAATGCTGCCTCTGCTCTTTTGGGATGGAATTCAAAAGTGCAAGCTGCACACTGTTTGATACCCCATAATGAATATATTTCACTGCCCCTTCATGCAGCTATGCAATAAAACTCTCTCAATAAAAAGCCTATTATATCCATTTTTTCAGTATTGCATACAGGCCCAGGAGTTAACATCTTTTAGTATTGGAAAAATTACTCAAGTGTTAATAGATAAAGGAACTCTGTCAATGGGTCAGATTTGTCTGTAGTGTCATTTTTAGTGTGCCAGAGATGAATTTGGTCCAGTTTATTTGGGCCTTCTGCAGCATCTCTGTTTAATTTCTCTCTCTTAGAAAGATTAGATATGTCTAACATTTATATTGGAAAGCCTGAAACAATAGGCCAGCTCGTCAGCTGACGTAAATCAACATAGATCCCCTGAAGCCAGATCAGCAAACAAGGGAGCTAGTTTACCTTGGCTAGGCATTTGGTCTACTGTTTCTCTCACACTATAAAAGCATTTTGTACAATAAAAATCACATCACATCTCTCCATGTAGGCAATGTCCAGAGCTGTTGCACAGGATTTATTTTCCTTTAAGAAAGAAACATATTTAAGTCTACACAGGTTGACACTGTCACTTTTAATATAGCAAGCAATGAGAGTCCCAAAGACAATTATTTAGACAGACATAACTTCCAGATTATTAATAGCACAGATATAGCAGATACTGCCAGATTGTGAATGTTCAAGACATACTGTAAATCTCCAGTTGTTAGGAGTTCACAGTACTAGCCTAGATAGAGTATAAATATCCTGTAACTTGACTGAATTAGATAGAAAAATGTTACCAATTACTCTCCTTACTTCGATTCCTTTGACTTAGAACCAACATGCAGAGCTGATGGAGAATCTGTCTGACATTCTGGAGAGGGAAAAAAAAAAACTCTTTTAAAACATATTGTCTTTTCCTGTGGAACAGCGGGGCATTTTAGTATTGAATTTTCTTGCAATTTCACTGCTTTGTATTACAGATAAACCTTGCTGTTTTAACAGGGAACATATTCTCATCTGTTTTAATGATACAATAAATTTTAGGTGAAGGGGGAAAAAATAAAGTCCCCAAAATAAGTTGTAAAAAAGCTCTTGAAGTCAGAAGACAGACTTTTCAGGAGGAGATGCAAGTATTACAAGTGAATTTACTTTGCCTTCCTATTCAGTTCTCATTGTAAGCAGCTTGGATCATATTATGCCCTGCAAACTGTACCATGTGCTAGTGCTAAGACCAAGGCTCTTTTTAGGGTTAAAGACATGACAATGTGCTATCAAAATAACTTCACAATCCTAACAACATGCCATGTATACTCCTGCCCAAAGCATGCTAGGTTATGTTAGCTTCAGTGATAGTTGCTTTCAGAGCAATATGCCATTTTATCTCCCACTGACAGCATGACATGTGAACTGTCATACAGTGCAAGCCACCCTGTGTTTGGGAGATGTGGACGAAAAACAGCCTTGCATGCAGGGAGTTAGACTGGCTACAGATTGGCACAAACCCTTCATTTTTCCTGCACTCAGCAGAAGAAGAGGCCCCTGTAGACATTTCACTTAGTCTATCAATGCCCAAGTGCCTAGTTGGCAGCAAGTTCTCAGGGAAGGCACTGAACTGAGAACCAGAGATGCACTCTGTAAAATGTACTGAAAGGGGTGTATGGATAAAAAAGGGGAAAAAAGCCAAGCAAAGACCTAAAGAAACAGAGGGGCTGACTGTTATTGGACAGACAGCTGAAAAAATTGTCCCTATAAGTGTCCTACTAAAATTATGTTGGCCACATTGTTTTGAAAGAATGGGACATCATTTAAATCCCACTAACCAAAATGCTATTTTTAAGCTCTTGCATGCATGCACATTCTAGTGTGCCAAATTTTATGGGCCAGAATCACATCCATGCTTGGGTCCCATGATGCTACTCTGGCAATATAAGCCTGGGTATTTGGGTGCCAATTAATCTCCACTTTTAAGCTTTTTTAAAGTGCCAGAGCAGCATAAAGAAGAGGGAGTCTGAAAGTGAAACTGGCTCCAGCTTTTTATAGAAATAGTGCCCATTATAAAAAAGAGTTGGTGTAGAGCTGTGTATATAGTATACCTACTCAATTTTTCTGCACCATTTATACATGGATGTGTAATTCAAGCATTACTAGAGAATGTTTGTACCTTTTGTGTACTTGCTTTCAGTGCATATTTTTGCAGGTGAGTTTACTGATGGAAATGTTTGAGGAGATACCAAATTTTAAGCAAACATTGGAAAGTATTTCTGGAAAGTAAGTTCTGAGATTGCAAATGTGAGTATTTGAAACTGAAAACCTTGTGCTGTAGTTGCATCTAGGCTGTGAAGAAACTTTTCAATTTGTTCTAGAATCAATTGGAGCACTAACGTAGCAAGGCTCTGCCAGATGCACCTAGTTTGGTTAACCCAAAGAAAGGTGGCTGTAACTCAAACAGTTTTAAACATGGATGCAGATGCAATAGCTTGTCTATGCTGGTGCGTCAATTAGTTTAGAACCAGATAGAAGTATTTTTGCTGGAAATTTCTGGAGAGCAGACAATACTAAGACTTGCTGTCATCCAACCAAGAAACAGAAGCATAGCAGTTGACCAAATTGTAGCATACTGTATGATCAAGTTGTCTCAGATCCAGCTGACTCAGTCCAAATTTTAAACATAGACTTCTTCAAGAAACAAACAAGCTATAGTTTGCCAAACTGCATCAAGCAATGTTAAACTGAAAAGACATTTTCCTCAGTTATCGAAGTGGTTAAGGTAAAAGTCCTCAGATGCATTTTGCAGCTACAGATTTTTTCCCCCTAGCTTTAACCTTTTTTTCTGCCTTCTCATTTACTTTTGAACACTGTCCTGAAAACATTTGAGTTTTTGTTCTTGGTGACAAAAGTCAATTGAGTAGTGAAAAAGTGGATTCTAAAAATTACATTTGGAATTTCCCTTTTTTGCCAGATTGTGTGGCAGTAAGAATCTATGTAAATGTTATTGAGTGACGGTTCTCCCTGGGGCCCAGAATGAGGTCCTGCCAAAGCCACGTTTGATATTCAATGTTAAGTCTGTTCTAAACTGACCCCCCAGTCTAAACTAAAGAAAGCCCAAGGTTTTCTTTACAGTCTCTGCATTTTAAATTGCATCTTAAAAAAGATTGTGGCCCAACATTTTAATTTTTTGCTGCATTCAATAGACTAGCATTTGTAGAGGTTTTTCTATGCATTTCATTCTAGTTAGTTGACAGCATCTTTGACCTATTCTGAGGTGGTGGGCTGGGACTTATTGCCAAGGATGAGGCTCATGTGAGTACGTGCTATAAATGCTTAATTTCTTTGTGGAGAAGAGAGACCTTAAATGGTCCTTTTACATTTTAAAAATAAATCTGCTAGGTGCACAGAGATGCCTACTGCCATTCTAGGGAGATGGGCAAGTCATGTGGTGAAAATACATAGTGTATTACTTCAAATATTAGACATCCTGGGATTTAAGATGCACTCACTCACATATAATGACTCCCAATTAAAAAAAATCCCCACACACAAACATGAAATAAAGACACATTTATAAGGATCTGTATCTCTACAATGCATGTAAGAGCTTTTTACTATTTTTTAACTTCAACTGAGATGCAGGCCATTTTTAGGAGCAATATTTTATTTTAAGAGCATGCCTTAATACTTGAATAAAGTTGGGATCTGAGAGGAAAGCACTTCCCTCTGGAAGGAACAATGCATGAAGTCCATATAACATAAGCGAACATTTACATTATGGGCTAAACCAAGTGTTGGCAACCCATGGCCCACAGGCCAGATACAGCCCAGGAGCTGGGGTTTTGGTGGGGGGAAATGGAGCAATATTTAGCCACAGGGGCTTTGCCCATATCAGGCTGCACTGCACCATGGCTGGGCAGCAGGGAGCTTTCCTGTGCCGTGAAGCAGCTGTGTGTTGGCAAGAAGTGGTGGCAGGGAGAAGTGGCAGTAGCAGCCAGGTCTTAGTGTTGGTCTTCCTAGCATCTGAGCTGGACTATTCCAGCCTACTGCCACAAGACATTGCAGACCGCTGGGTTAGCCTGTGCCTTGAATGCAAGCTCTGCTTTGGTGTCCATGTTACACTTAAAGCCCTGTTAGTTTGTTAGCAGGTGCAGTGTGATACCCCTTCCCCTCTGAGCCTCTTTGGAGAAGGGAACAAGACAATAGTCCTTACCTTGCCTCCACCTTAAGGATTTACATATAGTCAGATGGTCCCCAAAAGCCCCAGGTTGGAATCCAGGCCCCACTGCAGTTAATGTGACTTATGTGAAGCACAGCTCACATGAAGACAAAAGGTCTGGGCATGTCTGTCTTGCTTTTGCCTCACTCCTGAAAGTCCTGCGGGGAATCATGGCCCTGTCAATCCTGCTCCTGTTCCCCACACACCATACTGGGAAACAAAGTGGTGAGGCTGCCCCAAGGGAGTGCCCTGTGGCACTCCTGAGCCCCTAGACCTGGACAAGGTAGAGAGTGGCAGTGGAGAAAGCAGAGGGCACCTTCAGGGCAGCTTCACCACCTCATATCTGGAATTGGGGTATGGGGAATAGGAACAGGTAGGTGGAGTATGTGTCTCAGTGGTGCTGTCAAGAGCACCACAGAAGCGGTATAGACATACAGTAGCATAACTAAGGGGGAGTGAGGTGATGACTGGGGCATCTGCTGGGGCTGCACCCCATCTAACTTCAAGAGGTGCAAAAATAGCAGTGCTGTCCATCCGGCTGCATTGACCAGTGAGTGGCTGCTAGCCAGGGTGCAGAACTGCCCTGTTACATTTCTGCAGTTGTGACGTCTGTCCCACACAGCTCAAAAGCTAGGATACCAGTCCTAGCACAGCACAATGTCTGTTTGACCCTGTTGTGGCATGATTCTGCTTTAGCCTGAACTCTTCTTTAGCTTGTGTTTGTCTGGGATTTTTGAGGTTTTTTTCCCCCATTTGTTTCTTAAAAATAATTAGGAAGTGACAAATGACCTGCAATAAAAAATCACTATTAAGGTTACGAAGTCAAGCACTCTGAAGTTAGGAAAAGCCAGACTTACAGGTTGCCTGTGCAAACTTAATTTGGCTTCCTTGTGCTGTCTGAGAAAGCCTAATGTCCATGTATGACATGATACAGTTTTTTTTTTTTAAATTCCTGCTTCATCCAGTGTGCGCCGACTTGGTGATACATCAGGGTTTTCTAGAAGGCTGATGTCTATAGGAACCATGTCTTACTTGTGAATGAAGCACATGACTATAGGAAGAGAAAGCAGCTTCCTGGTTAAGGCACCTGAATGCTCTCTTGGGTAGGGTTACCACATGTCTGGGTTTTCGTGGACACGTCCTCTTTTTGGGTCCTCCCATCTCTGTCCAGGAGGTTTTTTAAAATATCAGCAAATGTCTGGGATTTTGCTGTGCCTCTGCTTTCCTGGTACTTCTCAGCTTGGGGCTGGGGGCAGTGGGGGAAGGTAATTGGGGACCAGGGCATCAGGTAAGTGTGTGTGTGTGTGTGTGTGTGTGTGTGTGTGT